AGTGACGTTAAACTAGCGCTTATTGGGAGGCAACCCAACGACGGTTTCTTTTATTTTCCTTATTTTTCTCTTTTTGTGTGAGTGAAGAGTTCAAGTGTTAGATTTGGGTATCACCGTGCCAAGTCTTTGTGTTTTTGTGTTTTGGGATGTGGTTTGATCGAATTAGGGGCACGATTGAGTAGATTGAGTCAAAGATTTTTGGAAGTGCCCTGTTTTTCACTCAGTTCACGATTTGTGCTTCCAGTTCAAGGTTTTAGTGACCGTGAAATGGTGCCTCCGTCCGTGAACGGAGGGTGCTCCCCCTATTTTCAAAACTCATCGTTTAACCCCAGTTCACGGGCAGAGAGTTATGTTCACGATATTAATGAACGTGAACTGGCTCCTCCGTCTGTGAACTGAGGGTTCTGCCTATAAAAGGGGCGTGAACGGCTTACTTCACTTCACGACCGCCGCTTTCGCTGGAATTTTTCAAGTCTCACCGGAAAATCGCAATTTTTCGTCGATTTTTGTCGATTTCGGCGACTTCCGGTAACCCAAACCCAAAACTTGGTACGCTAAAACACAACACTAAACTACGACCAAGTATAATCACAGAATGAAAATGCATAATAGTGGATAAGTTTAATTAATCAACCCGGAGTCTAGATCTATTGCTTACTCCATAAACTTCTATTATCTAGCGAGACTAAGTGAGTGAAGATGAATTCAAACAAAAACAGAAAGAAAGCATTAAATTGTCCGGCCTCCTGAAGCAAGAGAAAAGTCACTCGGGAATGAGTCCCCGTAGCTCCTTAGTTAGGTCTAAGTTGTAATTTCCTTCGTTTGATTCACTGTTGATTAAACTGCAGAAGATCCGACAGTAGCTTGGAATCTCTTAAGTTGACCAAGCCCTCTCAGACAGACTAACCAGCAGACGACTAGTCTTCACCGGGATAGAATCCTAAGGCAATGAACACAGAACTCCACTACTAGAAACATATTTCAGTATAAAGCAGCGAATTGACTGACTCTCGTGGAATCAATTCACTCTTATCGATTGAAGAAGCTCTAACAACCTATTTAGATTCTATCTATCACAACTTAAAGCAGAAATCAAGAGAAGTTTATCAGGATTCAATTGACTCAATAAACACACTTCAATCAATTAAAATCAATTAGTATATCATCCCAAAAGTTATTACAATCAAGATCCCTAACACATGGAACTAGGGTTCTTCATACCCAAGTGAGAGATAGGTCTACTCCATAGAGAGAGGGGGGGGGGGAACAACTCATACTCATAAAGATTGGAATAATCTACTCTAGGATGTCAATCTACACTCCTGGGGATGCAATCTGGGTTTCAATGGTGAGAAATCCATTCCAAAATAGCTCCTAGGGTTTGTTCTTTGCACTTTCTCTCTCTAGAACTCTGTTTTTGCTCCAAAAAGTAGAATCCCCTTCCTTTGGGTTGAATCTACCTCTTCAACCCGATTCTAGGAAAAATACAGGCAGAATACGGTCGTAATTCTTCCATGTCCGTAGTTTGCCCAAAACGCGCGTTTTGGTCAAGTCTCAGCGCATCCAAGGGCTCCTCTCATTAGTGAAATTACGGGCTAGAAAATGAGGAATATGAACATATTTTTAGGAATACTAGCCGTATTTTTTACCTGAGCCATCACCAGGCTTGACATAAAAAATACTAGCAGTAATTTGTGAATTACGGCCGTAATTTGGGGAAGGTTGCCCACATTTCTTCCTCATCTCCACTTTTGAGAGGCTTTTGAGTGAGCAAACGACCTCCTGTTAACCTGAAACTTGGGCCTATGCCTACCTTTACTCGCTAGGACCTGAAATATGACAAAGTAACACAACCTAGCGTAGAATAGGCAAAGACACTACAAATTCGAGCCAAAATGGTTAAGAAACAATGGTGAAAACTTGTGCAAATATGGTGCTATCATGTTGTGCAAAAGCTTTGTTCTCATGTGTGCTTAAATGAATGGATGTCTTGACTTGGTTACTTCTTGATTACAATTTCCATGCATTGAAGTTTTTAAAATTGGAATAGATGATTGGGCGGCTAGGTAGCCATGTGAGTTTTGTGTCGATCGCCTTTTTCATGTGTGATAGATCCCTCTTGCCATGGTGTGTGTAACATTCACCAATGTCACTAGTGAGTATGATGGAGGCATGGGATTAGTCCACACCCAAAAGTTTATTGTCCCGAAACATTTTATCTCCTAGTCAACCCTTTTGAGCCGTGTGACTTTGGGGGTCGTTCTAATGCTAGGAGCTTCGTACTTGTTGAGCTTAATGGTGATTGAAAGAACCACCCCTAACCATCCTTTCTTAGTGTCAAAGTGTGAGTCATCCTTGTGTCTCGGAGTTCTCGCTTTTGAGCTCCATTGAGGTTCTACATAGGTGGTTTTGCATGGTTCTTGCTAGAAATGAGAAGATAGTGTTGGAGGAAAGTTCTTAAATGGAGAGCATTGTTCATTAAATGAAAAAAGTGACATGTGTTTAGCTCTCTAGTACCCCACTCGAAAGAAAAGAGGAAGAAAAAAAGAAAGAGCAAAAAGAAACAAAAAAGAGGTAATAAAATGGGGTAAATAAAAGTAGAGAGTGGCCACAAAAGTCTAAGTATATGCTCTAGAAATGGTTTCTTGACACCCAAGCCATGGAACACCTAAATTGTTTGATGACCTCCTTCACTACTAGGTTTGAGATGTGAATAGCAAGATAGGCCGAAGAAGTGTGTTTGAATGTATTTTGTGATTGGTAGTGGTTTGGAAGAAGGGAAGTGTGGTTTTTGGCCGATGCTAGCGGCCTTTGTTGTAGGAAAGGTTCTTAGTCGAGACCATAGAACCTTGGGTTTTAGGTTGAAGATGTAGGACCTTATGTCATGTTTGTCACCACCCAAAAAGCCTTTTCCCCATGTCCAAGACAAATGCCAGTCATTTGAACCCATGTCTAAGACCTCTAGACAAGCTAGTGATGACAATCGTCCCGTGAACTCTAGCATTTAGAGGTTGCCACCGTGGTGGAGAGACGATGGGGCTGAGTGTTGATGATTGTGTACATCTTTTGCACCAAAAAGGTCCTGACCCCACTGGTCGTGAGTGAGTGATTCATTCTTGTTTTGCATGTTCATATCCTACCCCAGTGAGGACCTATGTTGCCCTGTTGTCTGTTCCTTGGACTTGAGTTCTATGCATGGTTAGTTGTGGTTGGTGAGTAGTCCAATCGAGACTTGCATTGATTTGTGAACAGGGTGAGAACTTTTCATTTGCCCATTCTTGATGCAATCGAATGTTGTTTGTGGTGGATGCTAGTATTATTTGAGGCGGTTCGTGTGTTGATGCCCAATAGACATTGAGATTCACCACTTTGTGCCTTTTGATTTGTCCCCAAGTTATCTTGTTAGGTTGAGATATCACCTAGGTTGAAAATGGTTTGCTTGGGGCAAGCAAACGTCTAAGTGTGGGGGAGTGATTCGGGCTCATTTGTACACTTTTTACCCCCGATTTGCTTAGTCGTTTGAAGCATATTTACTACGCGGGGTTTGGTTTTACGCCAGGTTTTGCCTTGTTTTGGTATTTTTCAGACTTTGGCAGGTGGAATCAACACTGGAGTCGAAAGTTGGACGAAAGGGCAAAAAATCAAGTCAAATGGTGGAAGTAGCAGGAGATCACGGTTTCGGATATGTGTTCACTGTCACTAAGACCGTGAACTGGAGGTGCTACCCATGAACAGCCAGGCATCCAGAGCACAAATCACTTTCACTGGACACAAATCAGTACACAGTCGTAAGACCGTGAACTCAGGGCATCGCCCGTGAACTGGACTTAGTGATTCTGCGTGTTTCGACTTGAGATCACGGTCCGGCTTTCATTTCACGATCGTGAACTGGGACCGTGATTTGAGCCCGATCTGGGTAATAAAGGAGGTTGAGCTGAAGGGAAAAAGGAGAGACCTGGTGTGAGAAACTTCTTCTTCTTGAAATTGCTAGAGTGAGAAAGTGATGAACCAAAGAAGAGAGAAGCTAGGGTTCATCTTCAAGCAATGATTTGGGAATTCCTCCCCCAAAGGAGAATCTCTTCAACACAAGGAGAAAGGCTAGCATCTCATTGATGGTTTTCCTTCTTCTCTCTTGTGTTTTCCCTTCTCCTAGCATGGAGTAGTCCCTTCTTTCACTTGGATGTTTGTAAACCCTAGCTACAATTATCTGAATGTTTGTATGGATTGGATGATTTTGTGCGTGGTGGTGTTTAATGTGAATGTGGAGGTATTATTCATGAATGATTTTGTTGTGTTGTGTGAAAGTCTATCAATCTAATTGTCATTCTAACCTAGGTAGAGAGAAAACCCTCTTTCTTTCTTTGAAAGAGGATTGAATGCTGGGTTTTCTTAGGCGATTCGTTGTCTCCTATCTTGGTTAATGCATGGCAAACCTCTTATTTTGTATTAGCACCTAGGGTTGGTTGTGGGTGGCCGTCTGAACTCCGATTCGAGAGAGTCATGTTGGTGGTTTGAATCGAATTCCCTTCCCTCGACCTAGAGACCGAGAGAGTGGCGCTTGGCTACTTTTTGCACTTCCCTACGGTTTACAACCCCCTTACCACACATGACCATTCGATCCAACAATTCGTAATTGTTAGCTAGGGGGAGCAACACCTGGGTGAAGCCTTCTCAAATAGTGTCAAATCCATTTACCTTTGCAAACGTTTGAGCTATAGATCATTGTTTTCACCAAAAATCAACCGCTAGATAATGTTACAAACAATCGAAGTAGGGATACATGAACCGGCCCGGGTCGATATTTAAACATACTTGCCCTATACTGCACCTAGGGCTGCCAAACGGGTTTGCGGTTACCGGTTTAACCGGTTACCGTACCGGTAACCGCGGTAACCGGTTAAACCGGTAACCGAGAAAAACGGTAAGCGGCTGGGACTTCTTCGCATGGAGGTATGCCGGGACCGGCATTGTGATTTACCGTCGGCAGAACGGGATTCCGACACCGAATGGGAGATTGATTTTCATCAGCGGATGCGGATCGTCATAAATGAGAACAGTCGACGACCACCCACCCTAAAAAGCCCTAATTCGGAATTAGTAATTCCCTAACGATCTAAGCCAGCCGATCCCAATCAAACCACGAGTCAACGACCGCCGATCCCTCCTCCTCCGTTCATCGTCGTTGGTCGAAGCCAGCCGTCGAACTCGAACCCCGTCGAAGCCAGCCGTCAACCCCGTCGAACCCTGTTCATCGTCGTTGGTCGAAGCCAGCCGTCGAACTCGAACCCCGTCGAAGCCAGCCGTCGAACCCCGTCGAACCCTGTTCATCGTTGTTGGTCGAAGCCAGCCGTCAAACCCCGTCGAAGCCAGCAGACAGCAGCCCAAATCCCCGCTCCGCTGTCCGTTGAACTCCGTCAGACCGTCGCCGTCCCTTCTCCGGCTCTCCGTCAACTTTAGAGGTAATCTTCTCCGGCTCACCGTCCCTTCTCCGCTGTCTGTACTGGCCATGTAAAATAGACATGTGGGCGGGTGTGCGTGTGGCTGCCTGTACTTCACATCCAAGTTCACTCTGTATTTGTTTTGCACTTTTGCTTAATGAATAATGACGATTGTAAAACAGTAAAACTGTAAAAGTAAAACAGTTGGTGAGTTGTCTCGTCCAGGTCCAGCAAACCAATTTTTTTTTCCATTACTCATTTTAATGGCAGAAACATAATCTATTCTTGGTGAATCTTAGCTTATGGTGTGTAACTCTTTTTTGGTCTCTAGATTCAACAATGTTTGTTACTTGAATAATTTTAATAATTACTTAATTAGCATGATAGCGGTTTATTGATGGTCAACAGTGATGAAAGAATTGTGTTGTATAATACTATTATTGTCAATGCTCAATTGTCATTGAATAATTGATGAAGCAAAGCAAGTAATTTAATTCAATTGTTTGATTATTAATGAATAATTACTAATTAGTTTGCTTTAGTTTTAATTTTTGCAGGTTTACCGTTTATATAGAGGCAGAGCCGAGCATAGCCCCTGAGCCCAGCATAAGAACTTTTGTTATTTTGTACTAAATTATTTACTTGAGAAACCAAGTACAAAAATGTAAGATTTAAGATAATTGTTTAATGGTTTAATGTTTATGCCTTTTTTTACATGTTGGTAATTTTATGATTTATAATTTTTTATATTTTTTCTTTTTGTTGTAGGACGAAATCTTCTCATCCTCGTAAAGGAGATGCTCCGAAAAAAAGTGGTTCCATTCCTCCCCGAACCACTTCCAAAAAAGTGAGTGCTCGTGTTGGAGCTGCAGAAGGGATTCAAGTGAATGTCTCAGCTAGTACACCTACACCTACCAGTGCCATTACATCTCCACCTGCTACTGCACCTCCTGCAGCTGCCACACCTACACAGGTGACTGATATGGGAAGGGGAGCAAATGATGTGGGTGATGAGGCAAAGAAAATTGTGAAGGTGACAAAAAAGAAGAAGAAGTCCCCGTGGTGGACTCCTTATGATGAGGTTCTGGTGGATGACTACCCATATGGCAAATGCAAACAATGTGGAACGTTGATCAAAGCTCACTCGACCAATAACGGGACTTCTGGTTTGAAGCAACATCACTTGGCATGTGAGAGGAAGAGGAAGGAAGCCAGTGGTCAATCACTATTGAACTATCAACCTAGGGATGGTGAGGTAGGCTCTCTAACTCCATGGAAGTTTGATCAACAAAGAGCTAGAACTGCATTAGCTGTTATGATCATCTTGGATGAGCTGCCATTTCGCTTTGTTGAGCATGAAGGATTTAAGAGATTTATGGCAGTAACCCAACCATTGTTTGTGATACCTGGAAGACAGACAATAAGGCAGGATTGCTATATAATCTTTTTGGAGAAAAAAGAGTTGCTATCTGAGTTCTTCAAATCCAAGTGCAAAGGAAGAATTTCTATCACCACAGATACATGGACTTCTGATAACAACCAGAATTTCATGTGTGTGACTGCTCATTTCATTGGGAGTGACTGGAAGCTGCAGAAGAGGATCATTAGCTTTGTTCCCATCACTAGTCACACAGGGTAGGACATTGCAGATAAATTGGCAGAATGTCTACAAGATTGGAAAGCACAACAGTTGTTCTCCATTACCATGGATAATTGATAACGATGTAATTGCACGTATTTGCACCCCTAGTTCTTATCCGTTTGAGGGGCATAGTCTTGTATTTTTGGCCTATTTTATGTCGAGTTGTGCTATTTTGTCATATTTCAGGTCCCAGGCGTCAAAGGAAAGGCTAAGCACGAGTTTCGGGGCATTTGGAAGTCATTTCGTCGAGCTGGAGCCAAAACACGGGCACACCTAAAACAGAACACGGCCGTGTTCTGTGGCCGTGCTTTTACTGCCGAGAGCAAATTCGAGTTTGGCAAACATTGGCAAAACACGGGCTGAAAGCACGGCCGTGTTCACCCAAAGCACGGCCGTGTCCTCTCCAAAGCACGGCCGTGTTTGCACCAATGCACTGGCCGTGTAATTAACCCTAGCCAAATCACGGGCGGGCTGAGGCATTACACGGCCGTGCCCTCGACCGTGCTTTGGCCACTGATGCCCTTTTAAGCAGATTTCAGCCAAAACAGAAGGGGATTCGAGTTTTAGAGAGACAGAACGATTCCTAGAGTGAGAAAGTGACGAACAAGAGTCTCCAAGTGCCTTAGATTGATCTTCAACACCATTGGAGGCCAGCTTGAGCTTGGAGAAGTGCCGATCAACGTCCAGGAGCAGGAATCCATCCTTCACAGTATGAATTCCACGTCTGATTCTGCTTTTACTTCTTTCTCCATGGAGTAGTTCTCCCATTCATCTGGGTATGGAGAACCCTAGATTTGTATGTTAGGCTTTGATTGTATGAACCCAAGTACTGATTCTATGATTTGATTATATTCGATTGAGGTTTGAATGATTGAATGACTTGAATCCTGATCAAATTCCTGTTGTTTCTGCTTTAACCTAGAATGAGAATATCTGCCTAGGTTGATAGAGCATCCTTGATTGAAGGTAGGGAGTTGGTGACTTTAGTCGAGGAGCCAACTCACTACTCTGTACCGGTTTTACTCCGGTAGTGGAGGTTTTGTTCTTAGGGCCTCAATCTGTTTACTCCGGTGGAGGTTAGTCGCCCGCTAGAGATTCAGATTGAGAGGGTCTGAAGACCTTTAGTCGAGACTTCAGGCTGTTTGAGAACCTTCCGCAGTATAACTATCATAGAAACTGAACTTGGTAATTACAATCCGGCTTAACTGCAGTCTAGGGGGAACCATATCCGAGTGACCTCTCTTAACCTGAATACAACAATTTACTTGCTTTGTTAGTTTGTTAGTTTAAACCTGCATTAAAGTTTCATTGCTAGATAACAAGAATTCACTGAGTAGTCATCAAATCTAGGACCCGGGTTGATAATTAAACCCAAACCCGCTATACTACGCTTTAGGAAGTGGTTTCACTTGGCCAATTCCTGGAGTGACAGTAGAAGTGAGTCAATAATGCTTCTTCTAATAATGTTCTTGCAGAGTGTATGAGAACAAAGATGAAAGAGTGGGGAACAGATTTGATTGGTGGGAAGTATTTGCAATTTCGATGTGTGGCACATATAATCAATTTGGTTGAGTCGGATGGGTTGAAGGAGGTTGGAGTTGTTGTAGAAAGGGTTCGAGATTGTGTTAAATGGGTGAAGTCATCACCAGGTAGAAGGGCAAAGTTCAAATCTGCCATTGATTATCTATCAATGGATGGAAGAAGACTTCTATCTTTGGATGTTCCAACTAGGTGGAACTCAACTTATTTGATGTTGGAATCTGCAGAAAGGTTTGAGACTGTCTTTAACTTCTTGCATGGAAGCCCCAATGATTCTGCATTTCGGGATTATGTGGACTCAAAGAGAGGTCTTCCAACTAAGAAAGATTGGACCAGTATTCGATGGCTAATGAAGTATTTGAAGTTCTTTTATGAGCTCACCTTTCGGGTATCAGGTATGTGAACAAACATAACTCTTTTGCGATTCAACTAGTAATTCAAATAATTTGTTGTTATTTTTGGATGTATCAGGAACATCTTATGTGACTGCTCATACTTTCTTTAAGGCTATTGCTGACATCTATGAAGTGATAGAACTTTTTAAGAAAGACATGGATGTAGAGATACAACGGATGGCAGCAAGAATGGAGGCAAAGGTACGAAAATATTGGTTTGAGAATGATGATGATGATGATGATGAAGAGGTGGAAACCTAAGGATAAATAGGCTGGTTTACATGGCATGTGTGCTAGATCCTAGGCTTAAAATGGCTTATTTGTATTGGATGTGGGGTAAGATGTATGGGCAGAAGAAAAGAGACGATTTGGTGAAAGATGTGACTGCAGAGATGACTGCAATGTTTGAGGTTTACAGATTGAAGTATGCACCTCAACCCTCAGAGCCTACTATTACCACTGCTAGTGCTGATGATGGTACTGGATCTACATCTTATGGAGGGACATTTGATGCTGAATTCTTCAAGATGAGAAAGGAGCAACTACAGAGGGGGATTCGAGGTTCGTCTGAGCTAGACATTTACTTAAGAGATGTTGATGATGCTATTAACGAGGATGATAATGATATGAAGTTTGACATCTTGCTGTGGTGGAGTAAGAACAGCGTTAGATATCCTATTCTTTCCCAGATGGTTAAAGATATCCTAGCTGTTCCAGTCTCCTCTGTTGCCTCAGAGGCTGCTTTCAGTTGTGGAGGTCGAGTGCTCAGTCCGTTTAGGTCTTCGTTGAGCCCCACCATTGTAGAGGCCTTGATTTGTGCTGAAGATTGGGTAAGGTATGAAGGAGGAAAGAAAGCAGACAAAGTTGTTGATACAGAAGATGAAAATCAAGACCAAATCGATTATGAAAGAGGTAAGAATTCTTAATTTCATTTATTTTTAAGTTTTCCAATACTCCATTTCTGATTACATATTATTAGATGAAATGTAACAATTGTATTTTTTTTTTTACACTTAGTCACTACTAACTTCCAAACTCGAATGGAGAGAGCTACTGCCAAGCCAAGTGAAGGTGTCAAACAAAGTTTACCTGTTGTGGTGGAGGAGGAAGAGGAGGAAGATTCAGACGAGGATGAGGAGGACCAGGATGAGGAGGACCAGGACGAGGAGGATAATGGTGATGATAACCTTCGCACCACTTTGAAGCAGCAAGGTTTTGTTGATGTTGGTGGTACAGGTCCTAGTGGCAAGTGAGGAACTAGTAATTCTATTTTTTATCTTCATGTCTTCGAATTTAATTTAAACATTTAGAAGCTGCAGACCAGATTGCTCTATTTTCTCTATTTGGAATTTTACGTACTACGTACAACTATAATGCTATATTTGATCTTATTTTTTAGTATTTTCATTTTTCAATTTGATGTTTGGAATTTACTTGTTAGATTTTGTTTTTTGTTTTTTTAATTAATTAGCCGAGTGCCCCCATTGTGGCTTTGTGCCCCAAATTTACAATACTATTGACAATTCATTTGAGTATTTGATAATTGAGTATTGACATTTGGAATGGAATTATGTTTTTTTATTCAATTTTATTTACTATCTTAAGAATTGAATTGGAATGTGGCGTTGGAATTGGAATGTGAAAACAAAAAGAAGAATTGGAATGTGGCGTTTAGTGTTTACTATTCTCATGACATTGTGGACTGGAATGGAATGAATAATGATGGCATGTGGCGACGTGGCGTTGGTGAACGGTGAATTGGTGATGATTGATGAAATTGAGGACTGGACGATGGTTGGGGTTGGGTGAAGCAATGGGGTCCGTGACACGACAGCCGACAGGGAGACAGCCAGACAGGGACAGAGGCCTAACGGGAAGCAATGGCGGCGATGAAATTCAGGCGGTCTCAATCCCACTCCCAAGTGTCTGTCGGTAATTCGGGACCCCGTTCCCTTACCGTTACCGTACCGAACGGGAAGGCGGTATACCAGATGGAGAAGGGTGTCGGCATCCGGCGGCTGATTTGGCATTTCCGGTATTACCGAAACCGGTAAAACGTTAAACGGTAAACCGGTTACCGTACCGTTTAGCAGCCCTAACTGCACCCAATTAAGGTTTATACTTAGGCCTTAATTGGGAGTTCTATTGTGGTATTCGGGACGAGTCATTATGTCGATTTTATTTTCAACCAACCAAGTGGCTGCAAAATTAACGTCATGAATGATTATTCACGAGTGTTATGACCATTACGAATACAATGTTGGATTATTCAGAAAACATTATCATAATTTCAAAAATTGAAAAATAATACCATTGCCACCTTTGTATTATATAAAATTAAACATTTCAAATAATTTTAAAATACACAGCGTAACCATACGATTAAACTGTCTCAAGCCTCAAACGAGAATGTGACAAGTGGTCACCATATCTCAAGCCTCAAACGATTAACTGTCTTCCGGTGTCAAACGACCCGCCTAACCATACGATGCCGTGTTTGACATTTCAGAGAGCAAATGTCTCCAGAGTCCAGAATCGACACTCTGGAATCTTGTTCAGCTCAGCACTCCCCGCTCCCGAACACACGAAACGACTTTGAGTTAGACTCGCTCTCTCAAACAATTCCCTCTTTTCTCTCTCTTTTCCGATTCTCCTCAAGATTTCCTCCGACGACGAATCCACCATGGCCGGCCAGCGCAACGACTACGGCAAGAGATCCCATTCTCAGTCCGACTACGGGAGCGGCAAGCGCCGCAACCCGGCGGGCGACGAGACCGGCGAGCTTCAACACGGGATTGGCAACGACGACACAGTCTACCGCTACTTGTGCCCTCTCAGAAAGATTGGGAGCATTATCGGACGTGGCGGGGAGATCGCCAAGCAGCTGAGGGCCGAGAGCAGGTCAAGTATTCGAATCAGCGAGTCGATTCCAGGGTTTGACGAGCGCATTGTCACGATTTACAGCTCTAGCGAGGAGACCAATTCGTTTGGGGAGGACGAGGAACTGGTCTGCCCCGCTCAGCATGCGCTCTTTCTCGTTCACGATAGGGTTGTGGCGGAGGAGCTAGGAGGTGGTGGCACTCGTGGTGGTGGTGGTGGTGGTGGGGGTAGTGATGAGGAAGGGGAAGAAGAGGACGAGCTTGGAGAACTTCAGCAGAAGCAAGTCACCTTAAGAATGCTTGTTCCTTCAGATCAGATTGGATGTGTTATTGGGAAGGGCGGCCAGGTGATTCAGAACATTCGGAGTGAGACCGGTGCTCAGATTCGGATTCTGAAAGATGAACATCTTCCCCCTTTTGCCTTAACTAATGACGAGCTTCTCCAGGTAAGCTCTCCTTCCTTTTTACACCTTTATACTTCTAATTTGGGATTGCCGAGTTCGTTAACATGCAATTACTTTCTATATGAGTAACGCCTCCTTCCAGTTCTGGAAACTCTTGTGATTCAGCGTGGTTAGTTGTTGCCTCTTTTTTCTTACCGTTGGTGGGTTTGTGTTTTAGATTGTAGGAGAACCTACAGTCGTTAAGAAGGCGCTTCTTCAAGTAGCGACTCGCCTTCATGAGAATCCTTCTCGCTTTCAGCATTTGCTTTTGTCTACTTCCAACAACCCGTATCAATCAGGTGGCATGTTTGTAGCACCAAATGCAGGTGTCCCGGCAATGGGTGCTTATGGAAGCTACAAAGGTGGCTGGCCATCCTCGTACCCTGAGTCAAGAGATGATGGTGGATCTGCTAAGGATTTTGCTGTTCGTTTGCTCTGTCCAATTGGAAATATTGGAAGTGTGATTGGGAAAGGAGGTGTTATTATCAAACAAATTCGTCAGGAAACTAGGGCTTCCATCAAAGTAGATAGCTCGGCCGCTGAAGGAGATGATTGTATTATCTTTATATCAGCAAAAGAGGTGGGGTATCTCTTTTTATCTTTATGATACCTGTGGCAAGGGGGGTGAGGGGTAAGTGGGGAATTATTGTAGGGCACCAACGGCCCCCATGGTTAAGAAAGCCTATAAATTGTTTCAGTACCATTATTGACCAACTGGGCATGTGTTCTAATAGGTTTTGGATGACCAATCTCCAACCATCAATGCAGCACTGAAATTGCAGCCTCGATGCAGTGAGAGAACTGAAAGAGACTCTGGAGATTCTGTCCTCACAACCCGTTTACTTGTACCAAGATCACAGGTCGGATGCCTTATGGGTAAAGGTGGATCCATTATTTCTGAGATGAGGAGTGTAACTAGGGCAAGCATAAGGATTCTTTCAGAGGATAATCTTCCCAAGATTGCCACTGAAGAGGATGAAATGGTGCAGGTGAATGATCTAGAGCCATATATGTTGTGCTTCCCTTTCTGTGTGTGGCTGTGCGATTTTACAGCATTCTTACATTGCTTCTTATTTTATTTTTATAATGATTCTTACATTGCTTCTTCCAATGCTGTTAGATCACTGGAAACCATGATGTTGCCAGTAATGCCCTTTTACAAGTAATGCTAAGGTTGAAAGCCAATGTATTTGGAAGAGATGCTGCCTTATCTTCATTTCCTCCGGCTCTTCCATATGTCCCAATGCCCGTGGACATGTCAGATGGTCTGAAACTTGGAGGCCGAGATACTCGTGTACGTGGTGGATACCCATCATCCTCTGGGACATATGGCGACGATTATCCCAATTCATTTGTGAGTTTTTCTTTGTTTTATCATGGACAATATCTGCAATGTGGCTGTTCTTAATTTTCTATGTACCTGTCATGATTTTCAGGGTGATGGAGAAACTGGTGGTTATGGTGCATATGGCAGCTTGTCTTCTGGTCGATCCAGTAGTGCTGGGTATGTATCCATACTGTTGAACCTTTGGAACTAATTAAGAAACCCTTAGTTGTGTTTATTCTAGGCTTCAAGCGCTTCTTATCAGTAATGGATTATCCGCATATGGTAACCTTCAATATCAAGAAGGCCTTTCAATGCTGACATTGCTATCCTTTAATAGGTTGGCAGGCCAAAGCCCCATGTCACAAAGAAAGCATCATGGATATTAGTTTCCATGATCTCGCAGCAGGTAGTTGACCTTCAGTCTTTTCCATAGTTTTGGTAGTAACTGAACGGCATACGATTAGCTGTTTGTTCTCATTTGAAGGACATATCACCACAATGATGATGTCTTTTCCAACCATCCTAGTTCTAGAATTCTAATACACCTTTCTGCCTGTGTTGCCATCCCTCTGCAATCTAAACAGCAACAATCTACATATCCCGAAGCCTGCCCCTATGCCCATTTGATGAAGCCTTCAGCCTAGAACAGAAAAAGCTCACAGATGAACTGCGTTTGAGAAAAATTGTACTTCACCTCGGTCCACCCCCATGATGCTTACGTTGGACCTTCCATGAACTGATGATGCAACTGATCATTCAAATTCTGGACCTTGACACGATATTTTAAGTTTTAAGCTGCCCATCCCAGACATTATTTATGCCTATATGGTATGCTTTTTATGTAACAGCAATAATAGGTAGCTCTGTGTGTCTGTATGATGTTTGCAAATTAGTCTTCTTCCTTGGCTTAGAGATACTCAAATAGACGTTGGTTGTTGTAGTTTTCAATCAGCATAATGGTTGAGGTATTGGTTGTATACTCAATTCTATTCTTTCTGTATCATCATGTCATTATAGGTTTGCTTGATTTGTTTTGCTTCTTGTGAGATCTGCCTCTACTTGCTGTATGATTCAAACTTAAGAACTGGAACCATCCATTGTTTAATATCTTCTTCACTATATCTGGGCGAGGTATTGCTTAGTGATATGAGGTTTAGTTATTTGACAGTATGAGAAGTAGTTTGTGAGTTTGAAACACATATCTTGTTATGGTATGTGTTCCGGTATGTTGTGGGGATATAGCGATGAGCAGGATTAACCTGCGAGGTAATTGTGCATATTGGGGATGATCTCATTCAAGATCTGACAACAATGAAGGTAAATCAAAGGGTAGGGGGGGATTTTATTTCTATAGATTGCTTCAAGTTCCATAGGCCTCTTGGATTGTGCAATTTAAGTTGCTTCATGAATTTCCAAGCTCGTGCAGGGTTGACGTGTGGTTGATGTACTTGGGATGCCAAGAAGGGGTATGTATTTCTGCTGTCCTTCTCTAACATTGACTACCTTTATTAGTAACTTACACACTGAAGGGTTATGTTTATGCATGTATCTGCTCTGGTGATGACTACTGAAGTAGGATTTGACATAGATACAGTCCTTGGACTGCATTTAGTAGCATGAAGACAGATACCATCAATTGGACTAGGTCATGGAACCATTGTTTCTGATGGAGTCGGAATACCGGAATTTGCTTTGATGAGTGGCCAGCAGCCAGCAGGGAGGAGGTCTCCTCATCTCATTTCAAGCTTTTTTACTTGGCAGGGCATGGTGTAAATTGGCAAACGTGATGCTACTAGTCTTATGTAATCTAATCTCTATGGATTTAGGTTGGTTAATACAGTAGTAGTCGTCCGTCGTCGTCCATAACTCCATTTAATTGAAACAGTCTTATAGCTTAATCACGTAGGTAGTTTGATGATCCAGGCAATAAATTCGACTTTCATAGAACCAGATCGTCTCTCTTCGAATGGTGGACTAGTGCAATTAATATTCAAAGTCTTAACTAAAGAAAACAAAGAGTAGATTAATGCAAAAACATAACTTGGACTTCGCTCGCTCTGGTTCGATTCAATCCTCCCCAAGCACTTCTACAGAGTCTTGAATGAATCACATCCCTAAATAGTAGAAAACAGACGCAGCAGCAAGGGGTAAAAACACATCTCAACTCCTGGTTATTCAGAAAATCCACCCATGTCTAGTTCATGTTCAACTCCCAAACCCATAGTGCATATTGAATGAACAGCAGCAAAAATCAACCTCGCATGAATGAGGGGAGGCAGCCTATTGAACTTGGGATTGCTCACTCTGCTCCTCAGCTGTTGCTGATTCGCTCGATTGGCCAGGTTCGTCATCGGTAGGGCAAGTCTGATCATCAGGTGCCATTCCACCTGCCATTTCCAATACCAAACACGAAGCTCTTTATCATCTATGCACCATGAGAGCAATAGTGTGAATCGAAGGTGGCGCATTTATTTACCTTCGCCACGAGCATAAGCTGATCGCCTGGCTCTCGATTGCTGTTGTCGATTCGGCTGCAAACAAAACCCAGCAGAATCGAAAACCGAAAATGATCATCTTTTCTGAAATCAAGAGATCTCATATGAAGGGAAACCCAAAACTGAGAGGAGAGTTTAATTATTTTTACCTGCAATTTGGGGCGGAGAGCTTCAAGAGGTCCTTTAGGCTTTTGTGCTCCTTGCTGCTCATATAACATTCAAATGACTACTAATTATGATACATAGGATAAAGAAACAAAAGCATTCAGAACGGATTAAGGAAGGGGGGAAATGGAGAGAACCTTTCCCAATGCCCAATCCGCAGAGTCAAAGAAAGCACGCTCGTGATCCTAAACCAAACAAACGGATCAGAACTGACCGGAAGGAAAATCTAAGTCAGGGTCAAGAATGAATGTCTATTCTTTTTCTTTTCATTTCCACTAACCTTGGATATCAATGGCTTCTTCTTGGGCAAAATCCCTCCATACTTGCTCCGAATTATTTGCTCCTGCACAAAACAAAACCCACAAGTAATAAAAAACCCAATCTGGGGAAAGCACCGGTATGAGCTGTTAGTACTCACCTCCTGCTCCGGCGAGGGAGAAGGGTTGTTATCGGCGTTTCCGTCGGAAACTTTGTGATCTCCGCTCTCATCCAATCCTTTGTTCTCAGCGTGTTGATCGAGTTGAGCACCCTCGTGCTCCATCATTTCCTTGTCTGCATTTCCACTCGACATCCCCGATTCAGAAAGCCTGAGCGAGCTCCCAGCCGAATAAAAAAAAAAAAAACGAAGGACGCGGTGTGAGCTGGATCCCAAAGAAATCGGAGGTTGCTAAATTGAATTGCCGGGAAATGATCTTTAATTGAAGAAGAAGAAGAAGAAGAATTTCAACCTCCTGTTTCCCTTTTCGGGGGTTCTGACTGATTACCTGAAGTTTCTGAAGGATTATGCGACTCGCCGGAGCGGCGGAGACGAAAGTATTAGATACGGGAAGTGGGAGGGAAGACCGATCTTTGTTTTTTGATGGAGGCCTATCTGCCTGAGATTCACGCAGAAATGGAGAGAAGAAAGAAAAAAACAGAAGAGGCAGAAGACACATGACATGACAGACTGACTGCCCATCCATTCATGGCGCTGGGCACGGAGATGCGTCCGTTGGGTCAATGATTAGTCATGGGCCGGCCTACTCCTTTTTCCTCCATTTATCGGCCTTCTTCGTTCAACCAACTGGGCTTTTGCTGGGTTAGCCATGCAACGTCAATATATGCACCCCTATCGTAACACCCGTGTAGGTGTCAATCGGGCGGGTTCGGGCTGGGTTCAATCGGGTTCGGTTTCAAACGGGTTGCGGGTTAGTCGGGTTGCGGGTTCATCGGGTTCGGGTTCATCGGGTTCGGGTTCAAACGGGTTGCGGGTTATTCGGGTTGCGGGTTCATCGGGTTCGGGTTCAATCAGGTTGCGGACAAATCAGGTTGCGGGTTCATCGGGTTTTGGGTCGGGCGGGTTGCGGGCGGATCGGGTTTCGGGTTGTTCGGGCCAGCGCATCGAGTAACTTACTCATTACTCGTTACCAACTTACACATTTTATTACACTAATTTAAAATATTTTCTCAACTTTTTAACCAATTTATTCTACGTCGTATATATATATACTTAATTTTTTTTTTTTTAAAAACTAGTCAAAATGTTAAATCAATTTGTATGACTTGCAAACTTGTTATGTAATTAATCATAATTGGTAAAGTACACTAGCTAATAGTAATGGTGATATCAATATTTGCAACCAAAAGACACCATTAATTGTTTATTTGATATTTTAGTATTATTTCAGTAGTAATTGGATTAAAGTATCTTGTTTAGTATAACCATGCAAATATGGTATTTGGTTTGTGGTATTTGGCAAAAGCATAGTGATAAAAGGAGTTATTTCGAAATAACTCATTGCCCAAATAACTTCAGTAAACTATTGCCAAACGAGTTATTTGTAAAATTGTTCGAATTTTCCTAAAGATTAACTATCAAATTTAGTAAAATTATTGTGACTTCAATCATAACTTACTGAATAACATATATCCTATACAGTTAGCCTTATCCTCAATCGATAATATTAAATTAGTATATCTCACATAATTTGTAAGGAATATAACATATATGATATTAACTAACTACTTAAATATTTGCAATATACAAACCACACAATTACTATATTGAAATTGTGCATATAAAATACAAACGTGCATAACCTATATGCCGAGAGCAGAAGAAAGGAAGCAGGGATTCGACTGTCTTCAGTCCTTTCTAACCTAGAGGCGACGAAGACGGCAAGGGAGCGGAGGGGACAGAACCACTGGAGACAGTCTGGTGGCGGAGATAGGGATTTCCCTTCTCACTTGATTAAAATATTGGGGGAGGTGGGAGGGAATTTTCAATTTTGGGATGGGAGGGAATTTCAATTTTGGATCAAATATTGGGGGAGGTGGGAGGGAATTTTCAATTTTGGGATGGGAGAGAATTTCAATTTTGGATCAAATATTGGGGGAGGTGGGAAGGAATTTTCAATTTTGGATCAAATATTGGGGGAGGTGGGAGGGAATTTTCAATTTTGGATTAAATATTGGGGGAAGGGGGTTTATGGGAGGGATTTTTTAAAAAAAAAATGGGTTTGAAAGGGAATTTTTGAGCAAATATTTGGGGGTTTTGAATTTTGCATTCAAAAAATTTCCATAAACATCTAGTTCTTCCTTTCTTTGATATTTATTATTATAGATGATAAATTTTATACCGATTAACTAGTTTGTTGTTCGATTCGTTGGTCGGAATGTCATTTGAATATGATATATTTAAGATGTACATTCACAAGTTAAAGTAATTGTTATCAAATTAATTAATAAACTATAAAAATCAAAATATCCAACATAAAGCATAACCATGAATAAACCCTAGACCCTAACCCTAAACCCTAACCCTATACCCTATACTATAGTTATATGTTATGAAATTGTTACTATAAGCTATAACGTATGTTATGTGAAGAATGTAAGTTGAGTCAATTTTATATTCAGTTATTGAGAAGAACATACGTCTTATGACTCCAAACTCTAAACCACGAGTCCACTACCGTATACCCTATACACTAACCATAAACCATGAAATATAGTTATGTGTTATGAAATTGTTGGTATAAAGTATTGTTTGAACCATCTAGCTCCGGTATGAACAATGATATTTGTTGGTGTGGGGTTGACTCACGATCCGTTCGTCTGATCTCGTCGGGAGGGAAGGAACCTGCGAAAGAGCCGGGGTTGCCCCCCGGATTAAGCTCCGACGATCAAGTCAGCGTATGTTTGAGGAGAGAGTTGAGAGAATAGATAGAGAGAGTAGTGTAGAGAGATAGCAGAAAGTGGAAAGTGAGGGGAGAGGAAAAGTCCCCCTCTTTGGAGGGCCTCAAGCCCTTATATACCTGTAGCGGGTACCGAGTGTTGCCATCGCCGATTGTGTGCTCCCCTACTCAGTCTGTGCACGAAGTATTTAGTAACACCCCCAGCAAGTATAAATTATAACGTATGATATGTGAAGAATGTTAGTATAATACCCGTAAGTATTTTATACGTAACTTTTATGAATCTTCTTATTATTGGGGCTAGGGTATGAGTTATGACTTATGTACTATTATGAATCTTCGTATTCTAGGTTAATATTTTAACAATGTTATGTGACCTGTTATATTATGTGTGGAAGAAAAAATGTTGTAATTATTAGGTACTGATATATGATTGGCTTAATTAAGCCAATCATGTTTTTCATATGTATGTGTTATCTATATATATTATTTATATACATCAACCAAATGTAAAAAATGTTGACAACCCTCCTAGGATTTCTACTTATCTACCGAGACAGTGAGACTATTATGTGATTCAATTAAATGACAACTTTTATTTGTCAACACAAAGTAAACCTTTGTTCTTGGTGGGAAAGATGAAAAAAAATGAAAAAATAATAGGGCAAGTCACATAAACTTTATATATTATCTACATATAATATTTATGCACAAAAATATATTATGTAGTATTATTCGTGCCAAAAGGGCGGGTTCCGGTTGGGTTAATCGGGTTCGGGTTAGTCAGGTTACGGGTCAAGCGGGTTGTGGGTCAAGCGGGTTGCGGGTCAAGCGGGTTGCGGGTCAATCGGGTTCGGATCAAGCGGGTTGCGGGTCAAGCAGGTTGCGGGTCAAGCGGGTTACGGGTCGGGCGGGTTGCCGGTCTTTGACTTTTAGTCTAATCGGGTTGCGGGCGGGTCGCGGATCGGGTTGGTTGGGCGGGTTACTCGGGTCAGGTCATGTTTTGACACCTATACGTGTGGGTAGTGCTGAAAATCCACACCAAACCTGTTTGAACCTAACTGAGTGTAGGAGTGAGGTTTGGGAAAATGGGTTGAGGAGAATAAGCAATGAGAATCTCCGTGGATCCAAGAACAAAGAAAGGAAAGAAGGAAACTGAGAGAATTATCTTGTAGTGAGAGAAGTCTGTTCTTTTTCTAGAGATAGAGTCTGAAAAATCCGATCCCCTCACCCACCGGAGCAAATGCCTTATTTATAGGCTACATGGTGGTGGGTGAGTTACATGGTGACCTGTCATGGTGACATGACTACTGACATGTCAGAAGACTAGGCCATATCCCTACCTAGGACAAGTACACTTAGCCTTTCATTATACCTAGGACTGTGATGTGACCATCCGATAGGTGGGACACGGCGTCGTTTCCCGTACGCTAATTTAGTCAATGCTGGACTCGGGCTGCCCTCGGACGCGCTGGCGCTGATGCGCCCGTCTCTAGGTATTTGCGCTCGCCGATGTGGTCGCTCGCGCCGGTGCTGGCGCGCCCGCCTCTTGGTATTAACGCTCGGCGGTGTGCTTGCTCGCGCCGATGCTGGTGCACCCGTCTCTTGGTGTCTGTGTTTCTTTGGCGCGGCGGAATCCGAGTCACATGCCCAACAAAACCTTAAGGGCCTGTTTGGATATAATTCCATAAGAAATGGAAATGAATTTCCATTCCCAATTTTAACTTTTATGGAATTTTATTTTCAATATTTGTGTTTGGCATAATTCCAACAACTATGGAAATGATTTGTACTCTTTAACAATCATTAATGATTTAATAGATTTTTTTATCTTGAGAAATGAAATACTAATGAGAGAAAAAGAGAGGAATAAGATAGTGGAGTTATAAAATAATAATAAATGTGAATGGGTCCCACTAATTTCATCTCCATAAACCCAATTCCTGTCACTTTTGATAGAAATTCTAATTTCCAATATTTGAGTAAAATGGAATTCATTTCCCAACCTTCTTACCATTCCAAACATGGAATAATGAAATGGAATTTGAAATGAAATTCCAATTCCTGAGTTTTTTGTCCATCCAAACAGGCTGTAAGGGCAATTGCTGTTTATATTGCACTGTATGATTTGGTTCAGAAAGTGAGATATTAACTATAATATGGTTTGAATTGATCTGGACTGTGATAAACAGTCGTAAACCATGATCCACTACCCTATACAAAAAAAAAACACTAAGGGGTCGTTTGGATGGATTGTTTGTTGAGGTGTGGTATTTCATAACAAATAACCCATTATTTGTCAATTAGGTATTTATGTGGTATTTGAATGATAATTGTGATAGAATATCTTGTTTGGCTGAAAAAGGTATTTGCGATGGATTATTTTATTTTAAAAGGTTAATATACTATTCTATCCTCACTTTCTTTAAAGCAAAGAATCAAGCAGCCTACACCAATCTTCTCCTCTTTTTCTTGTTTGAACACCTATGCTTACCCTCACAACCGTCTCAACAATTAAAAAATCATATACGAGATTGAGAAATGGTATCAAACCACCAGCACCAAACCACCAATTACCTCTGCTTACCAGCACCAAACCAACATCAATATTACAACTCCAATTACCCATTGTTTTCCAGTTCTGCCAACCTCCTCTGTTTACCCAACTCAAGAACTTGTGAATTCCAAATCCACTAACGTCCTCTGTTAACCCAAACCCAGATCAAGAACTTGATTCCCAATTGCATGGATTCTTCTTCTTCTTCGATAACCCTAATTGACATCCATCAAAGAAATGTTCAATTCGAGA